GCTGGGGTAGTTATTCCTTGTTTGTCTGCAAAGATTTTTTTTACCAAACAATCGCAAGGAGTACGAGTCCTTCTTTTGGCAACTTCCCCAAAATGAGAAGCCGTTAGCCGAAATCTTCTTTCCTCCAAGTATCTTGGGTTGCTGAACTGTCCTATAGTTTCTTCTAATATTTGTTGTTGTTGCTTACTCGTCACTTAAAAATATTTAAATATAAAATCATGTAAAAAGTAAAAACGTAATATTCATGTTAATATCTTTAGTCGGTCAATTAATTTATTAACTTCTTCTTTATTATTATTATTATTATTATTATTATTATTATTATTATTATTATTATTATTATTATTAGATCCGTACTCCTTACTTTTTCTAACAGTAGATTTTCTTTTAATTTTGTCACGCTTCTTATTATTTTTCATTTTCTTAGAAAATGGGGTGCTTCTCTATTAAATTAAAGCATTACTTCCAAATTTTGATGAGCTAATTAACTCCATTATTATTTGGAAACCGTTCCTTTGAATGAGATTTAATCGTTTTCCCATATTGAAACGAGCAATAATATTCCTAAATGATTCTGCTTTGTTGGTTGTTTCGTTGGCTAAAAGAAGGTGTGCTTTTGTTAAAAGTAAATTTAATGCTGCGTATACATGGTGGTGAGCTCCTGATGATGTGAATTCGGAATGTTTGTTAATATCGTTGTTAACATCGCAAATTCCTCTTCGGCAGTTAACATGATTACCAAAAACATGTGTTACACTATTTCTTAAATCTTGTTTAGGTAAGCTGTGAATCGCTTCCATCTATCTTTATTAGTGTAAACTGCGATTTATGCTGCCTTTACCAATTTTTATATAATATCAACTGTTAAATATTTCCTTGCCTTTAAAGTAAACGGTTCTAGTGTTCTTCTTTATGTTGTAAAGACGTTTGCTATAATTTTTAATGCAATGATTTGTGCATTTCGACTTTGTTACCTGAAATTGAAAATACAATAACGTAAACTAGTTTAACAGATATTAAAATGTGTACCTACCTCTACACGGAAAAATTGTTTATTATCCACCACTCAATACGAAATAGAAATATTCAAGAACCAAATAGTTTTTTTTTATACAACTCCCCCTACTACCTTTCAACGTAATGGAAATAAATCAAAATATTAAAAATTTAATCTTTTGTTACTGTGATGTTCATAATTCTTTTCTCTAATGAGAATGAAACTCACTTTTCTTAGAGTGCAGGTAGTCAAAATTAAATTATTTTTATTTATTAATACTTTAATAAGATTTACAACCTTAATCTATGAACATTATAAATTTTAAAATCAAAGAACTACTTCTTTGATCCTCTAAGTCTTATAATAAGTTTTATAATAATAAATTGTTTAGACTTAGGTACTTAATACCTTCTTACGGAAAGTGAAATCATTTTAATTTAATCCCAGTATTTTTTAAATTTGTATGTTATATTTCTTATATTGTAAAACAATAAAAATGAGAGCAATTTGTTTTTCTATCTTATGGAGTTAAAAATTCTTTTAAAATGAATATAAGAGGTAAATATTTATTTCCACAGGTGTCAACGATATACGCCATCATGGGATTTAAACCCGAGTCGCCGAATCCAAAGTCCCAAGCTCTGCCCATTCCTTTAATAATGGTATTAATTTATATGCATCATTTTTATAAATCTAAATATTTCGTTTTCAGCTAAAGCAAAAATCGGTCATTTAATTATAGGTGATTATAAATTTTCTCCGTATTTAAAAAAATGAAATTATCTTTTTTTGAAAACATGGATCTAGCAATCAGATGTAGGTATATAGAATTAATAAAAAATAAAAAAGTAGTTTTTAAAAAATTTAAAAAATAAATAATATAACTATATTATTTTTTTGGTACTAAAATACTGATCTTCCCTCGTTTCCGTATCCAGATAGAAATAAGAATTCGGTGAGTAGCAAATAACAAATTCTACGGATCGATAATTCATTTTGGTGAGTAGGTTATTTTACCAAATATTTGACTACAGGCGCTACTGATTAGGCAGTCCCGCAGTACAGAATTCGACCGCAAATCCTTTGGAGACTCTGTCCTTAATAAATAAGGCTAAGTATAATTATTATTATAACCAGCAAATTGATACAAATAAAACTAACTCTAAAGGCATATGGAGTGTAATACAAGACATTAGTAAATCGAAGGTTAAGAAAAAAGAAACTGATATAATTAAAAACAGTTTAGGTAGTCCATTGACAGACAAATATGAAATAGTCAATGATTTCAATTCAAAAATGTTAATCTAATTTATAGTACCTACATTATGTTATAATTTTAATTTATTTATTTTTAAATAGATTTCAATAGTTTATGTTGCTTTTAAATATTTTAGATTTTAAATATATTTCTTTTGTTTTTCTCGAAACAAGCGTATATACGCTTATCGAGTATATTTTATTCACAGATACTGTTTTTTAAATTGATATAATACTTTGTAATTGTAATTATTATTGTATTTTTTTTTGTGAATAAATTATTATTCATACTTACAAAAATTTTAATATCAGATTCGAACTTTTCAACTCCTAAAACCCAATACTAAGACACACTGGTTGACTCCAACAAATTTTCTTGCAAATATGCTATTCAAATATAAAAAAAACGAGTTTGAATTAATTTTGACACAACTCTGTAAAAAGTGGTTTACGAGGTCAATAAATTCAAATTTGAAATAAGTTTTCGAGTAACTTTCACAATGATCGTTTTAGCGCCAATTTGACCATTGAAAATCTGTGAACGGAATATCAACGAAAAAAAAAATTCTCATTTGTAAGCTCTTCTTAGTATTTTGTACTCTATAAAGTCGTAAGTTTGACTCAAATACTCGTATAGAGTTTTGACATCAGGTATTGCCAAAAAAAGTTTTTTAATCAAAATCCAGATCATTTTAAGCAATTATAAAAATACGACAAGCGAGAAGAGACCCGCGAGATGCGTACAACAAGAAGAGAACAACCATAGATAAATAGAAATCCTTGCCGAAGAAGTGAGCTAACCTCTCCAATGTCTACTTTTACAAATTCACATGTATTTTTGCGAGCAACTTCTCGCTCGTCTTATTATAGGTATTACATTATACTTAAATTCTCAATAAAAATGAGTAATACAATTACTTAAAAATAATCTGCATGATTAAATTAAAAGTAGGCATACTGAAGTGGATACAATCAGAATTACTAAGTTTCATATCTCATTCTTAAAGTGCAAAATATGTTTATCTATGATCATCCTTAAAAAATTTAAACGTTTACACTTTGGCACCTACATAAAAATATGCTTCATCCCAATTTGGTCCATTCTCCATTGTTTGTTCCAATGAAGGCTTAGACTTTCTATTACCGTGAACACTGATAATACTGATACGGGACCTTTATAAGGCGTCCAATTGACTTACAGGTTGAGACAAAACATTCAGTCCTAGGCCAAGCCCACGACGTTAATGGGACACATCCATGGCAACGACGTTGGTTCTTGAGTCGATAACGAGAAAACCAACGGTTTGTTTTTGCACGAAAAGGAGAAGAGCAAACTTCACCTATCATGGCTAAAATATTACCTAATAAGAAACATTTTTGGGATTACACAATTATAATTATTAATCCTAAAAATTTAATGTCCCTGTGCAAAGATTTTTAAAACAATAAATATAACACCTCAATAATTAATTAAAAAATTGTACAAACAAAAAAAAACACTTTTTTACATTTTAAAGCATAAGTGTAACAAACTGTTCTTAAATGTATACATTCTAAAGTTCTGTTCGCACACCTTTACAAAATTGTTTAAGAAGAGAATCATGAAGTATATGTCAAAGTTTTAGTTGGTGAGAAACCATATACATATATGCTTAGACTAGGTATGAAGAGAGGACTCGTAAAGTTGCAGGAAATCGTGTTTCATTTTGACACCAATGCTATTTGACCTGGGGGTCGATTCTCGACTTGTAGGAACCTTTTCCTATAGGAATTTGTGACACTTTCCTATATGTAGGAAAATGTCATAAATTTTCGATGTATATAAAAATGTCAAAAATTCCTATAGGAAAATATTCCTACGAGTCGAGAATCGACCCCCAGAGGGGCAACATGTTGAAAAAAAAACAATGAACTTTTATGTTAGTACTTTATTGATCTTTTTAGGTATAAAACAAGTTCAAAATGTAAAAATTAAAATAAATCAGGAACAATAAATAAGACACAAGAAAACTATATATACAAGGTGCGTCACGCTCAACGGGATGGAGCCTGGACACAGTGACTTAACGAATGGGGGCAAGGGGGGCGCTACTCACAAAGGGGCGACAAATGGTCCGCAAAACAAAAAAATGCTGGATAATTTTTATTTTTATTATAATTGATTTCTGGAAAATATATTTTAAATTTAGTGCCAGTATATAATAAATGTTAATTCGTAAATAAAAAAGGAAAAGAAGGAACACAGAAACTCCAAAAACTGTCTCATATTTGTCACGAATTCATTCATCTTCTGGCATCTACAGTTCGAAATCAACTAATAAACGATATCAAAAGAAATAAATATTATGGACTTTTGTTTGATTCAACTCCTGATATCTCTCTTCGAGAACAAATGACCCAAGTCGTTAGGTATGTAGATGTTGATTTTATCAATAAAAAAGTTTCCATCAAAGAATATTTTTTGGGTTTTATTGAAATACATGCTAAAGATGCAACCTCGATCGAAAATACAATTTTAGAGAAATTAAATTTCCATGAAATTTCATTAACAAACTGCAGATCATAATGTTACACATTTGGCGTTCAACAAAGAATAATGGAAAAATCTTAAAGCAATATTTGTAAATTGTGATAACCATTCATTGAATTTAGTAGGAGTTACTGCATCTAAACAAGATCCAATCGTTGTGACATGTTTTGGAATAATTTAAAACATATATCTCTTTTTCTCACGTTCAACGTTACGATGGGAATTATTAAAAAATGCTTTAACAAAAACTGTGCGCAGCTCAGATTACAAGATCCTAGAATGAATTTTAGAGAAGTGTTCCATGATCTTGAATCATTAGCGACTGAACTAGCCGAAATTCGAGACAAGCTCTGTGAAGAGGAAATAGAAAAAGCGAAGTTTCTTTGTGAAAAATGGGATATTAATACAACAATACGTGTAAGAAGACGCCGCAAAATGCCCGGAGAATTGGCTAGAGATGTTGGTCTTTCCGCAGAAAGTGAAATTTCTCGCGTTATGAAAAGCGTTTTTGATCTTCTCCAACAGGAAATATGTACACGATTTACACGATTAAGTGACCTTAATTTCAAATTTGGATTTCTACTAGACGTTGAAAATTTACTGAACAAGGATAATGTTGATAACGACCTTGAAAAAAATTGTAAAAACTTGGGTGAATGTTATAATACAGATTTCAATAGAATAGAACTCTTAATTGAAATATGTGACTGCAAAATGTTACTTCGCAGTAGAAAAGAAATTGAACCTAAAACTCCATTAGAATTTCTTACTTTTATAATTTCGTATAGAGATGTTTTTCCAAACCTGAGATACTCCTGACTATCTCAGTAGCAATTGCTAGCTGCGAACGTTCATTCAGCAAACTAAAATTAATTTTGACATATCTACGATCAACGATGGGACAAGATCGCCTAAGTGACCTAGCATTTTTAGGTGTGTAAAGAGAAAAATTTAAAATGATTAATTTTGATGATATTATTGATAAATTTGCTTCATCAAAAGCAAGGAAAATTTATACATAGTAATTAGTTTTATTAATGTATTATAATCATATTATTATTAAATATATGTATTTCCTTAGAGATAATATTTACTTTTTTATTGTTTTAAAACTGAGTGGTTTTAAAATATTTCTTTATAAATATATAAAATAAATAATAGGTACCTATCTTTTGAACTACTTCTAGATGATCATATACATTTCAAAATCTAGTCTTGTTTTCTCAACTTGTCTCAAATTTAAAGCCTAGCTTGATCCTATGACTTTATTTATTTATTAATTTGAGACTATATTTACATATAATATTATATGGTCTTCAAATGGGGGGGAGGGGGGGTCGCATTAAAAATTCCTTCGGCACAAATATACAACTCAACGGCGGCTACAAATTAAAATTAGTTTCATATATACAGGGTATACCAAACCAGAATACTAATATAAAGTTTTATTTTTTAAATGGGACACCATACATTTTCTTTTACTTTTAAGTTCTACTCCTAAAAATAATCTTAGTTTAATAAATATTTCCTATTGCCATCTTTGATAATTAACGATTTGACATTTTTTGGAAATATAGTACTGTCAAAATTAATTAATTACTCTTGATTGCAAAATAATTAATTAACGAATTTTTGACTGTTCCTCACAAAATGTATCTGGGTGATTCTCACCTAACTGTGATTTTTTATGTCCAGTGTTTTATTTATCGTTTAGCATAAGTTTTCCTCATCAAAAAGTTAATATTATAAATTTAGAGGTATTTTAGGTTAGGTTAGGTTAGGTTGAAAATGAGTGGGATGATCTCATCGCCCTCCACTGCGACCCAGATGGGTCTATTGTGGCTCATAACTAACTTATAGTTCACCGTACAAGCCACACCTTTTGATGAAGGTCATGGTTGAATTGGGTGAGACTTCTCTAAAGTCAGTAGGCTCCAGTCGGGTAAATCCGAAGATCTGGAACCTGGTTCTTTCCAGAGCGGAGCAGGTACATAGAATGTGCTCTGCAGACTCGTCCTCCACGCTGCAGAATCGACAGTCCGATGTATGTTGCAGACCTATCCTTCTTATGTGGTTGCCCAGACGGCAGTGTCCTGTCATCAGTCCAGTGAAAATGCGTAGATCTCTCCTACTCCATTCTCGGATCTGAGCAGAGGCATTCATGGAAGGGTTGTTTATATATAAACGCCTTCGAATGGGTTAGCCCTGGGGTATCTCTCCAATTCGTGAGTGTTGCACCCTCCGTCCATTTTGAGATAATTCCTTTGGCAGTGCTTTTTGCAATGCCCAGGAATGGTTCTGGTCCTATGAACACAGATTCGGTTCCTCTTTTAGCAAGTGCGTCGGCTTTTTCATTACCCTCCACACCACTGTGTCCCGGAACCCAGATCAAAGTAACTTTGTTCCGGGCACCGAGATACTCTAGGGTATTTATACAGTTCCAAACCAGCTTTGAGTCAACTCGATTGGAGCTCAGGGCCTTAAGGGCTGCCTGGCTATCTGAAAAGATCTTTATAGTCTTGTTTGCGGGGAGAAAATTAATCAACTCTCTCGCTCCCAATTCTATATTTCTGCTTGGAAGATCGTGGCCAGAGAGCCTAGGTTTATTGATATGTCAACTCTAGGCCTCTGGCCGAAAACTCCCGCTCCTACTCCTTTTTCAGTTTTGGAGTCGTCCGTGTACAGCGCATAGTCTGCCTGGAAGAGGGTTTTTTCCCCTTTGCTCCATGCGTCTCTCTCTGGAATGAGGACGCTGTATGGCTTTTCTATGTGCTGTCGGGGAACTAGCGAGTCCGAGACCATGCCGAGGATGGGGTGATTATTAATTTCACTCACCAGCCCCGTCTTGTCCCACCGCAGTTCTTCGTAACATTGACTACTCACTTTGAGGAGCCTATAGGAGACCATTCTGGCCTCCCTTTCCAACACAATGTGGAGAGGGGTTAGGTCCAGCATAATCTCCATGGCTCCAGTAGGTGTAGTTGACATTGCTCCAGTTATGGGGAGACACGCAAGCCGCTGCGTATTCCAGCCAGCTTTGCTCTAGCCGTCCGTTGGAGTCCCTTGTGCCACCAGACAACAGAGCCGTACGTAACCATGGGTTTTACCACTGTTTGGTAGATCCAAAAGATCAGTTGAGGACTGATCCCCCATGCTTTGCCGCATATCCTTCTGAGTGTCCAGAGGGTTAATCTGGCTTTGTTAATGGTTTTTTCCAATTGGGGGTTCCAGATGAGTTTATTATCTAGGGTGATTCCCAAATATTTCACCTCCTCCGCAAAAGGAATGGTTTACCCAGTCAAGGTAGGTTGTCGAAGCTTGTCGAGCTTCCTTCTCTTGGTGAAGGGGACAATAACAGTTTTGCGGGGGTTAACAGACATCTGCTCCCTTTCATACTATCTGTTGATTGTATTAAGGGCTTGTTGAAGGATGTTGGAGATCACCTCTTCGAACTTTCCCCTAATTATGATAACCAGATCGTCCGCATAGCATTGGAAATCCACCCCCTGTCGGGAGAGATCGTCTAACAGGTTATCCACCAGAATAGTCCACAGTAGGGGTGAAAGTACGCCGCCTTGTGGACATCCTCTGGCAGGCCTGAACGTGACAGTCTCTCCTTGCAGTGATGAAGTGATGTTCCGGTTTGCCAGCATGCTTTTGATGCAGTTACAAGTTAGTTTGTCGATTCCTCTTCGTTCAATAGACGAGAACAAAGACTGAGGAAGGGCGTTGTTAAACGCGCCTTCTATATCTAGGAAGGCACCTAGCGCAATCTCCCCGTGATTTAGGGAATGGCCGATTTTGCCTACTAGATTGTGCAGGGCATGATCTGTCGATTTGCCTGCTTGGTAGGCATATTGAGAGGAGTTTAACGGGTTTGCCCGAAGACCTCTTTCTCTAATGTGCCTATCTAGAATCCTCTCTAGTGTTTTTAGAAGAAAGGATGTTAGGCAGATTGGACGATAAGAGTTTGGTAGGGAGGTATCTACTCTACCAGCCTTGTGTATATACACGACTTTCGCCATCGTCCATCCTAGTGGGATATAGCTCCACGCCAGGCTTGCTCTAAACAACCGCACAAGGAGAGGTAGCAGGAGTGCCTGTCCTTTTTGTAAAAGGGCGGGAAAAATTCCATCCTCTCCGGGTGATTTGAAAGGGGAGAATGAATTCATCGCCCATTTCACGGCGTTTGGAGAGACAATTTGTGCCACAAAGTTCCAGTCCTCCTTTTTGGGTCGTATAATCGATTCCGTTAAAGGAAGGGGTACATGTTGCCTGTCCTCCAGGATTCGACTGCCTGGGAAGTGTTTCTGTAAAAGAATCTCTAAAGTTTCCTTACCAGAGTCCGTATAGGTGTTGTCGGGTCTTTTTATCGAACCGACTTCCTGTTTCGGATCTTTGGCGAAAATCTTGTGAAGTCTGGTACTTGCAGGTAAGTCTGATATACTCTGACAGAACTTCCTCCACGATTCTCGTTTGGCCTTTCTAATAGCCTTGTTGTACTCCGTTAGAGATTTGCGGTAGTTTTCCCGAAAGCCAAATTCTTTAGCTCGATTGAAGAGATGTCGAACTTCTTTCCTTTTTTTGTCGAGGTTTCTGCTCCACCATGGAGTACCCCTCAGGTCTCTTTTCTCCTTTAGTGGGCAGTTGTCCTGATAGGCAGTAATAAGGGCATTTTGAATTTGATCATTCGCCTAGAGATATTTTACAACCGACATTATGAATTAGATCATAAACCTTCGTAATTTTTTTAAGCTGCATATAAATATACTCGAAATGTCAGTACCGTGGCATGTCCGATTCTCATTTTTAAAATTAAATATATAAATTTCTATCAAAATTCATTTTTTAATATAAAATTTACCTCTTATAACTACAATCTAATGCATACTGCATTGAATTTTATTGCAATTTTATACCAATCTTTGGATTGGTAAAAAAAAAATAATCATTTATATGTCAGTACCGTGGAAATAATGTCAGTACCGCGGCATTAAAATTTTTAAATTTTATTTTGTCACAGTTTTCGTTGTGTCGTAGCTATAGTAGAACCACTTTACAGGCTTATTTCTATGCATAAATAGAAAACAAAAACGCGTAAAACATACGTTTGAAACATTTTTAATTTTAAAAAAATGTAAGTTGTAAAAATCACAGTTAGGCGAGAATCACCCATCTAACTTTTATCAGAATCATTAAAATATTCGTTTGCAATTTGAAGTTTTATTAAATTACCGCGTTAATACCCTGTATTTTATGGTACCAATATGAAGAAAATTTTATTTATGTTAAAAGTTCTACAAGGTTCCCTATACCCATATCTACTATTTATTATATATAATATTGTTTCCATGATGGATCGAATTACATCATTTCTTGGCAAAACTGCATTCGTCGATCAGGATCGTCTTCACTTACTTCTTGATGTAATTGAACTTTATACGGATGAAAATGATTTTTTATCAGTATCCTTCTTACAGAACTCTGGCTAATATCATTATTTAATGCAAGTTTTGCTAAGGAAGTTTTAGGTTCTTGATGAACAATTAGAAGTACATCAAGTGATTTCTCCTCATTTGTAGCTGTCCTCTTTCGTCCATTACCAGGAATATTTTTGACACTACCTGTTTCGTTAAACTTGCGTAAATTTCGATACACTATCGACTTAGAAATTGGAGACATTCTGTCAGGAAATGTAGCATTAAACAAATCGGCAGCTTCTTGTAAACCTCTCTTTCTATCTCCAAAACCAACCATCATCAACAGTGTAATTCTTTCACGTTCACTTAGTTCCATTGTTAGTAATAATAATCAAATAC